TCTGATGCCCGCATAAGATTTATTTTGCAATGTTTCATTATTTTATTTCATCTAAATATATTTATCTAAGGTAGATTCATCTAATTAAATACACATTTAATATAAATACTTGAATTATTAAATTTAATTAGTACTAAAAATAACGTGCTAAATTATTGTTTAAAATTTTGTTAAAATAATTAATACTTAAAATTTTTATAAATATTATAGCAAAATATTTTAAAATGAAACTAATCTATAAAGTAAGTTATTAAGTTATGCATTTTATTATATTTTAAAAAATCATGTTTCCAAAATCAATGCAAATCACATGTTAGCAGTTATTTTACTGTTGAATTATGACATTATTTATTATTTTTGAAGTAGGGGCGAATTTATTTGAAATAATATGCTGACATAATATGAAACATTTTACCGCATACAGAGCAAAAAGTACAATGATTGGGCGTGAAGGTGTATTCACAGATAAAAATGGAGCGATTTTAAGAATTCCGAGAAAACGTCCTAGTGTTAAAAGCATATCCTTGCATATTTAACGGCTGTCCAATATATCAATATTAAAAGCATATCTTTGCATATTTAACGGCTGTTCAATATATCTGATGGAAAACTCACCGACAGTCAGAAGAAGCAGAACGGAAAAATTAATGGAAAAGGAGAAAGAAATGTCAACACTTTTCATGGAAAAAGACAAAATGAATGGCTTTGATAAATTACTAATAAATGTTGACGAACAAAAAACGAAATTCATTATCTATAAAAATTCTGTTGAACTGCTTGTTATGTTTTCACGTTTTTGTCCATCCCATGCATTCAAAAATGATTGGTTTAATCCTAGTATACGGTACACTCAAGATTTGGAGACAATGGCATTACAAATATTTTCACGAGTTCGATAAATATTTTTTGTAAATATAATCTTGTGAACATTGTCTGTAATTCTATTCAGCTGAAATAATTCTTCTAGGTCATTTAAAAAAAGATTCTATTAAATTATCAGAAGAACCGTCGAAAGGTTTACTGCAATCGTTACACTGCATTGCTGATTTTATGGATGCTTATATAAACGAACATCTCAAGGTTTACGCGCTTTGACTAGCTGCCAAATTCGAAGAAGTTATTGATTGCGCATTTTCGTTGAAACTCCATTTTATTTTCGTGAATTTTTTCTTCACGGATTTTTAATTCACCGTCGGAATTAAATACTCGAGAACTTCATTTCAGAAAGAGGACGATGTACAGGATGATGTCCAGTTTATTTTGAATTGAGGGTAAGTCATCGTGGGAATACTGAATTCGTGCTTATTTTGTATGTGAATATCTGCGCTACAAGACGACACTAAAATTTTGAATTTTGGATAAATCGTTTACAAAATATATGATGCAACGTGCTACAATAATTCATAGAGCAATATTTGGATACACAGATTAACGTCGTGCTTTGGTTATAACATCCTAAGTGCTATATCGTATATCATTCATATTAATCGATTATTGTGTTCATATTGAAAGGTTGGTGCTCAGAATTAATGTATAAATGACTGTTTATTGTCTTCGTGCTTGTGAAACACTTACCTGGCGAGCTGTGTTGCCAAATCTCTTGTCGAAAAGTACGGGGTCTGATGAGCAATCGTTTCTGAACGTCCAAGGATGCCAACAATCTAAATCAATAGTCCAGGACAGCTTGGCTAAAATTTCCACTGATGGATAATCCTCTAAATCTATCAGTTCAGTGCTAAGCGGCATAGCTACTTGCATAGGACTCAGATAGGAGCCTATAACTTATTGATTTATTGGCCATATGTAACTGTGTTTCCTGGATAATGCATTCAATTCCTCTGAAAAATCGAATATTTTTTTTCCATACATATGCATCACATTTTCCGAATTTCTTTCTGGTCAAATAAGTCCTTCATTTTAGCGCCACAGGTGCCATTAATGTCGATCCTTGCTACGTATGTGCTAGTATGAATTTCATTTAAAAGATGTTACCATCCAATGTTATGGCATATCGTTATTTTCAAAGAAACAATACAGCGTATATTTAAAACAAACTATGTTGCGACATTTAACATTTTAAGATCCTAAAAATAAGTTGTTTTTAAATATTTTGGGATTTTGCTCTTGAATTTTAAGTGACGAAGAACGTCATACTTAATAAATAAAATTTAAAAAACAAAAAGTTAATAATACAAAGGCAAAAAATGTTGTGTAAGACATTTTACAAAGAAAACTGGACACTGGTATGATGAATTGAAAAAAGACTGAAAAAAAATAAATGCAACACTTAACAATGTGACGGGAATTCTAAACATATGCTTCTTTTAAAATTTTTGTGATTTTGCTATTTAACGAACTTTTTTGTGCAATGTTAAAATCTGAATCTTTTTACCTTTTTTTTTTTTTTTTTTTTTTTTTTGTTTGTTTGTTTGTTTGTGTGTGTGTGTGTGTGTATGTATGAGCGAAAATTTTTTTCGTAAGTGTAAAAAGTTTCTTAAACAGATTTTCGTGAAGTGAACTTTTGTACTTTAAGTGGGTTACAGCTGAAAACATCGAAAACATTGCGGGGAAACAGCGACAACATTGCGGAGAAAACAACGCAAGGCGAAAATGTCCCGATATAAAGCATCTTGGGAGAAAATAAAGCAAAGAGAAAACATCGCAGTTCTAAAACATCGTGGTACAAAATATCGTGGCCGAAAGTAAAGCAATTCAAAAACTTTGCAGTTTAAAAAAATAGTCGTTGAAAATATCGTGGTAAAAAATAAAGTACCTGCAAATCATTGCATGACGATAACATCGCACGCATGCATTTTTCAAATCCCATACTGACATATTATCTAACTGACTTTCATCATAACTAACAAATCGACATCCAAAAATTGTATCTACGCTATACATGAAAATGTTAACGACACTTTAAGAATAAACGGAAACAAAACAAAATACACTCATGTCCATAAATTAAGGATGATGCAAAATCAGGCAAAGGAAGAGTTAGAAGCAAAACAAATTTGACTTATTTGTAAAGCTTATTTATTAAACAAAAGGTAAAGAGCAAAAAAAGATGCTATATGTTCGATATTATTAAAAAAATTAGCGATTTTTTCTCCCTGGAGCAAATTACAAAAAAATACCTATTTACAAAAAAACAATATTACATGGTTGGTATGATTGTTAGTACATTGTATGTCTCCCAGACGATGCAATACAGTCTGTACAACGCCTAGGCATGCTGAGTATCAAATTATCGATCTGATCTTGGGGGATATTACACCACTCAAAAGCAATGCTCTCCGAAGTTCCGATAGACATGTATGAGGAGGTTGACGGGCTGCAACTCGTCGGTCAGGCATGTCCTACACATGCTCTTCTGGATTCAAATCCGGTGAGAATGCTGGCCAGTCCATGCAGGTGATATCCTCCGATTGAAGGCATTCGCTTACGATGTTTGCACGGTGAGGACGGGCGTTGTCATCCATAAACACAAATTGTGCGCCCATGGCGCTCCGAAACAAACGTACATGTTGTTCCAGAATGACGTCCCGATAGATTTGGCTTGTCATGGGTCAAATTTGAACATGCAGGTCAGTTCTGGAACCCAGAATAATTCCATCCCAAACGAACACTCCTGAACCACCGTAACGGTGTCGTTCAACGATGTTTTCTTGGTGGTAACGTGTACCTGGAGCTCTCCATATGAAAGTTCGGCGAGAATCAGACTGCAAGCTAAACCTGAACTCGTCGGAAAACATCACACAAGCCCACTGTTGCGGTGTCCACAATGCATGCTCTCTACTCCAGGCTAACCGTAGGCGAGAGTGAGTTGCAGTAAGTGAAATGCATCTGACAGGTCTACGAGCATATAGACCAATCTGCCCTAAGCGTCTGTACACGGTCTGCGTTGAAATTGTCGTACCAGTGGCTGAAGAGAGCTGACGAGACAGGTCGGAGGCTGTGCTCCGCCTGTTTCTTTTGGCAGTAACTGCCAAATACCAGTCCTCATTCGGCGTTGTAACTCTGGGGCGACCTGTGCTGTAACGTCTACTCACATTACCATCATCTTGGAATCGTTGCCAAAGCCTGGAGATGACACTCTGGGCAATTCCAAGTTCGTCTGATACTTCCAGTTGGGTACGCCCACATTCCAGACGGTCGATAATTCTACCACGTAAAAAATCATCCAAATGCGTCCTTTGTGTCATAACTATTCGGTTATTGCACTGAAATGCTTATAAAGCGCCTGCGAACAATTTTACTTCTTTGCCTGTATTCCTTATATATCACTCTCTTACACTCTCGTCATTGTGACGTACCATCGGTGTCATCTGGTTACTTCCTGAAATTTGAACATGATTCTTGAAGATGTGTGTACTGATTTTACAGGTGAGATATTTATTTTAGAGTTCGATTTCCGCGTGACTCCGAATTATCCTTAATTTATGGACATGAGTGTATAATCAGATTAACAAATGTGAAAGAAATAATTTGATAATTAACTGAACAATTTTTATAGAGGTAATCTTATGCAGTTTTATTTATCTTTTTTTAAGCATTTTTAGACTGCAGTTTTCATAAAAATTATCAATAAAACTTCTTAAAAAGGTTAATGTACAACTTTTAAAACCTGAAAGCACATGTGTGCGATGTTATCATCATGCGATGATTTCTAGGTACTTTATTTTTGACCACGATATTTTCGACGACAATGTTTTCAAACTTCGAAGTTTCGTCCACGATATTTTGTACCACGATGTTTTAGAGCTGCGATATTTTCTCTTTGTTTATTGTCCCCTGATGTTTTTTATTCACGACGTTTTCGCCTTGCGTTGTTTTCTCTGTGACGTTTTCGTCCACAATAGTTTTGCCGCGATGTTTTCGGCGGATACCCTTTACGTGAACTTTTGTAAAACACGGCAGAAATATATTCATTGTCTTAAATGCAAAGATGTTATTTTTCTACTTTCCCAAAATGTCCCTATTTTCTAAAACAGGGAAGCTCAAGGGGGTCGGTATTGATCTCCTATGGTTGATAATGATCGCGGTGGTGGATAGCCGAATATGCACTGACAATAGCGAAGATCCTATTGAAAACAAAAAAGTTAATTATAAAATCGACAATTAATTGTTTATTGATATAAAGTTGTAATATGCAGTAAGGAAGAAATCATATAAAATAAATATCAAAGGAAAATACACAAAATTATTTATATATTTTTTAAATTAGTAGTAAATTTTAAAACGTATCAATATTTCATGCAGTATATGCAATTATTACCCACAAACGTAATTAACTTTTCCCTATTCTTCCTATTAGAAGCAAACTTTAGGGCAGTTAGTAATTTATTACGGTAAAAAGAAACAGGCTGAATATTGTCGAGCGAGATTATTTAAAAGTGAAGCAGTTTTATTCCAACTATTAAAAATATAGAATTCAAAACGTCAAGCACAGCTATCACATTAATTAAAATGGAATTTTTGTGCAATTCCAATCCTAATTTCATTTCTAAAAACTTCTTTATGTTTATTAAATATAAATAATGAAAACATAAATCTAATAAACCATTTTTCACAATATTTGTTCTTGTTCTTACCTCAATTGTTATCTTTAAGTTACTTGTGTGAATTTATTTGTTTATGATTAAGTTGTTATAACGTGTAATATATAAAAAATGTAAGGGTTCGGTGTAAGAAAAGGGTTTGGAAACCTTGTTCTAAAATGTTCAGAATACATTATTAAGTTTAGAACTATTCTCTGTTCCATAGTTGTAATCGTATACACACTAAATTGCGCATTAGCTTGAACGAGACAATGGAAAAGTTTCATTCATTCGATGACGAATCTGTGCATTGTGATATGCGCAATGCACAGATTCGTCATCGAATTCGCGCAATCTGTTCAGTGCAGTCGACAGTGCGTGAAACATCGGCATTCTGTAGAATGACTAGGCATTTTAAAGAATATCTGGTGTTTTAGGCAAAGTATGAAATATAAGAATTATTATATACTTTCCCTAGACATTCTATTGAATGACAAATGCTATCAATCCTAGGTAAAGTATGAAAACAAGATAATGATAAGGCTATTATTTAAAAGACGTACATTCCTCAAAAATACAAATACTTTTTTGAAAAGGTAATGAAAGAGTACAATTCAAAAACATTTATTCAAAATACGTAAATTAAAATGTAAGTTGTACTAAAAAAATTTGCGGCTTTCTTATTAAAAAACAATGTATGAAATGTATAGAAAAAATGCATGAATAAGGTACAAATGTATTAAATGCATGAATTTTTGAAACGAACTTTAGATTTATTTCATGTTTTGCCAGGTTTCTCATTTGGTATTCCATAGAATGCCTAGGGAATGTATGGAATATTAATTGTTTCATACATCGCCGGCTAATTTTCGGCACTCTATAAAATGCGTAGTTATTCTGTAGAATGCCGACTTTTATACATCATCAGCAACAGGCATTATTGAACTAAATATTAATTTGAACAATATCAGTAGCAGGTTCCTTTCAGGAATACATTACTCTAAATGTACCATTTTCTAAAATGTAGGAGAATACATTAGTTTTAACATAGTGGAAGTATTTCCTCATTTATAGTTGTAATAGAAGACCTGCTCAACTATTCATTAGCTTCAATTACAGAGCGAAGAAGTTTTTTTCACGAATACGTATTATAGAAAACGCAAAATAACCCTAATATGAATTTTAGAGGCAAAATGCTATGCAGTGCTCGTATTAGAACAGACAGCTGAACAGCAACCTGACTATTAAGCAATTAACCTAACAGAATGCTTAAATAGTCTTAACTTATTTAATAATACATTCCCCACTGTTTCAGGGTGTGGTCAGGAAACGTGACGCTGTTTTATTTAGTAGTGTTCTTTCATTTATTATTCGAAGGCTCCACAGGTGACCATTTATGCTTTGTGTGATAAGCTCATGATATTTCATTAAAACTGCTCAACATTTGGGACACGATGACACTTTTATATTTACTACCTGAAATGATTTAGAAGCGAGAAAGCAAAGGTTTCGCATATTAAAAAAGAAAAAGAAGAAATGGCATTAATTTGAAAACAGAAAGAAGAACTGAAATAAGCAGGCAATTGCTATTACTTTAACCACATTGTAAATCAATATTCATTTTAAATCTAACTTTTCATGCAGTTGGTAGGAATGTAGTTAAAAAATACTGTCAATTATCCGGGTCATTGCTGGGGATGCAGGTTACGAATACTTGAAAAAACACGGATAATCCAAACTATCAATTTTCGTGTTCTTCGTATCAATTGTCGGTGTTTATTTCTTTAAAAAAACAATCAATTTCCTTGTTTTTCAAAACAATTTAATGTTCGTAGAATTCTGCTGCGTATTTTTCGAAGTGCTATTTTATCACTGAGTTCGAATCCCCTCTGATCAATGAATTCCAATAAAGTTTCAACAAAAGTTATTCCTTTTTCTAGACTAATATCAGTAGTATCTATCATTCTGTGCCCCTTCTGTTCTTGTGAGATATGAAATGATATCCGCATCTTCCAGCATTGCAAACCGGGCTCGGTCTAATCACCATCGAACTATTTTTCGATGTTTTCCTGATCGACATATTTGAAGAATTTTACATTTTCAATTTTTTGGCATGCAAACTCAATTGCTGCCTCCACTTCTGCACAATCAGATAAATCTTCGATTTCTATATTAGGTATATTAAGAAGAATCTTTCTGTGTGATCAAGCTTTTTTTAACTAAGATACTTGACATAAACAAGATAAAAAGTCAATGACCCATGAGGTTAAGCTTGGCTGGTAACAATGCGAAACAAGTGCGTCATCAAACAGTCACGTCCAGTAATCCAGTAGTCCGGCAATGTCACCACAGCTGTAGGACGAAGCTACTCAGGGATATTATCCTGAATAGTCTTCAGACAAGTCTTAGTAGAATTTCAACACACTATACCTTGATGGCAGTTAGAAACTGAAGCGTATTTTGTATTCAGAAATACGTTTAGCAAATGAAAAAAAAGAGTCCCATTTTTAGTCATCTGTGGAGCTATGGATCCTTTTGTAGTTAAATAGATCGACCTTGTTCACCGCAGGAGCCGGGATGGATTTGAGGGTGACGTAGATTTTATTCTTCTTGAGTTATTCTTGAGCTTCTTGAGCACTAGAATCTGTGTCTCCCAATCTAGATTAGCGGTAGGACGCTATTCTAGGATCCTCTGGACAAATCCGGGTTGAATCTTAAAATTCCTGGATCTAAAATTGGTATTGTGTCTAAAACTAATTACCAGTTCTTATTTAGTTTTCGTATAACATAGTTGCTCTCTCGTTTATCAGGCTCTCAGTAGATTTATTCTCTGTCAAAAGAAGCGTTACGTCTTTCGGCGTGGTCTTAACAGCCCCGTAATTGAACGACGTGCCTGGTTATTCAAGGTCTCTAGTTTTCTGAAGAACGAGTTGGAAATAGTAATTAGCGGTTCACAGTAATACATAAAGGACCGGCAAGATAAAAGCTTTATAAATAGTATTTAGAGCGAGTACAGCCCCAGAGGCAACCAACGAGACGCTTAAGGAGAGACAGTCTTTTAGTAAATCAATGATATAGATATTCACTGTGCCAACTCCAATTCATCTCATTATCAAGCACAACTCTGAGATGTATTTAAATGATAATTTAAGAAGAGAATATCAGGTTCTAATTTTGTATGCAAGAGATAAGGTCCAGATATCAGTCTTTTCACGATTAACCACCATGTTATTAACATTACAGTTTTCTAATATTCTAAAAACAACACCAAGGGTCTGCTTACTTACATTCTTTGCATCGTTCGTCTGCTATTGTGCCCCAGAGACATTATCGCCTGTCAATAAAAGGCAACGAATTGCCTCAACAATTCAAAGCAATAAGTAAGTGATTTATAATACCCTAAGAGAGATGAAACTTAATACAGATCCCTGAAAAAGACCAATCTGTTGTAAAAAACTCCGGGATACTTTATTTCCAACACGGACTCTACATAAATGTTTGCCAATAAAAAAGGGAATCGAATTTAACATTTTATTTCCAAGATCAAAAAATTTAAGAATTAACTTCTCCTTCCACGTTCCACTGCACGCTAATTTTAAATCAACGTAAACAGTTGTCAAGACATTTCTGGCATCAAAAGCATCCTTCAAGTCTGAAAAAAATGGGTAACCTGTAAGTTTACTGACCGACCTGTACGAAATTCAGCCTTTTCATACCTCAATAAACCAAAATGCTCCAGATACGAATTCCGCCTTGCGTGAATCATCTTCCCCATCGCCTTTCCCATCACTTATGTGAGCGGTATAGGTCTGTAGTTTGACGTATATTTTGCATCTCTATCCTTTTTGAGAACTGAGATAATCAGCGCTTTCTTCCATTGTGTGGAGACTATATCGGTCTCCCAAATATAATTAATAATATTCAAAAGTATCTGCTTTGAATAGTTGCACAGATATTTAAGAAATTTAGCGTGGATATATAGTCAACTCTTGAAGAATTTCTAATTTTAAGATTTCTTAATGCAATATCTAATACGCGTAACACAAAAGGGGTAGCCGACAAAGGATATCACAAGGTGCTTCCGTCTCATCTCTTTTAGAATCTAGAAGATTGAATATTTCAATGAGCATAAACTCGATTTTGATAAAAACCATGTCCAGAAACACTTTCAATAGGTTCATCAGATGTTAAAACGTTATAACGTACGTATAAGGGTTCTTTCTTAGATGAAGCGTATTTATTTTAAGTTTTAGAAAGATACCTGTATATCTTCAAGCTATCTGTTTTATATTTAATATTTGAAATAAATTTATTAAAATTTATTCACATATATCAAGTAAAGCGTTTGTTTTTAAAAAGAAGAAATTCTCTTCGCCAAACATGTACATCCCACGTCTCATACTCGTAGTTAATTCAGATTTTCTGTGATCTCTCCCTGCATTTAACTGCTCTAACTAATCACTCCAGAAACATCTGTAAAAGCCAACTCTTGCTGTCGGGATTGAAGCCTTTGCACATTCAATAACAAACTTGTTGATGAGGAT